CCTTCAACGCCCAGTCCACGCGGGGATCGGGGAGGTAGCCCACGTCCCTCCTCCTCCTCGTCTTCCTCCTCCTCCTCCTCCTCCTCCTCCTCGTCCTCCTGGTCCTGGCACTTGTGCACATGGGACGCCTTTTGCCCGTGGGGGCCAGGGGGAGAAAGTTGCACCCTCGTTACCTTGCCTCTCGTTGCGGTGGCCCACCAGGTAGTCCGCCAGGGCTCGGGCGGGCGGCGGGTTCCCCCCGGGGGGGGGAATTTCCGAATGACCCATACGTTCCTTCCCACGTTCACGGTCCCCCGCGCTGGCGTGCGTGGGGGTGTGGCGCCCCTCGGGTGGGTCGTTGGGGCGGCACGACCTGAGGACAGGCGTGTCGTAATATGAGGCTGGACGCGACTCGAAAAGCTATGATGTGGGTCTGTGGGTCAATTTCTCGTCGTCGCAGTGCACAACATGTTTTATGATGCCCGTTCGGAAAAAAATAGCCTCGTCTTCGCAAGGTGCAGCAGGGCCCGCTTGCGCCGCATCTTGGACATGTGGAAGAGCAACTGTTATCGTTGAGTGCAGCTGGCCTTTTCCGTCGCCTTTGCTGCCACCCTCGGTGCGACAAGCGCTTTAAATAGCTCGCGGTCCGTGTGCACACGGGGCTGCCATTCGTTTTGCGAACGCCCCCTATGTGGCAATTGCGCCCAAACTTGTTTATCGCTGCGGCGGACGTGCCATGATTGTCCACGTAATTGTCCTCCTCTTCCACGTCCTTTTCCTCCTCCCCCTCCGTCCGTCTTTGGGTTCATTGGAACGTTCGGTGCGCAAACATCCCACTCGTCCCTGCTCCCTCCGCCCCGTGTCGTGACACAACCTCCACGACGTCGTCGTGGTGGTCGTGTGGCCGCCGCCGACGTCGTCGCCGCCGACACCGCCGCCGTCGGCGTCGTCGGCATCGTCGTCGTGGGCCACGATGGCGTGGACGGCGGCCACGACAGTCACCCCACGATACGACGATGACCGCGACGAGGACGACGGCGCTGACGAGGACCACGACGGTGACGCCACGACGACGGCCACCGCGTCCGCAAATCCCTCCTGTCCTGCCGGTTGGAGGTCCCAGGGTGGCGCGGTGACAGGCCGTGCGGTGACCCCGAATCCCAGAAGAAATGCGCGGCGCAGTCCAGCGCCGCGCAGCTTCGGGACCTCAGAAACCCCAGCCGCCCAAGGGCATCCTCGGAGGACGGCCCAGCTCCGCAAATCGCGCGGTCACCCCGAACTGAAAGGGCCCAGGAATGCATACAAATCCAATGATTGCCCCGCGTGTTTCGCACGCGTTCTCGATGTCCGTCTTCCCCCCGCGCGCCCCCGCAAGTTCACCGATCCCCCTGGTAACCGACGATGATACGCGTCTGCGCGATAGCTCCTGCTCCAGAACCTCCTTAGGCGCGGCACTTTCGTTGGCCAGGCGACGCAATCGAGGTCGCCCCCTCGCCCCCTGAGGAGCCGCGCTCAAAGACGGGCGCGGCGGCGCCGGAGAGAGAGAAAGGAGGGCGGGGGGGCGGGGCGCGCGGCCCCGCGCGGCCGCGGAGAGGAAGCGGCGGGGAGAGGCATAGCAGACGTTGCAGCGCGAAGCGTGCAAGTCCAGGGCGCGCGTGGGTGTTTTTTTTTTGGGGGGGGGGCGAGGAGTTCCCCCCCCTCGAAAAACCTTATTTCACCGGCGCAAGCCTTAGCGCACCCGCTGGGCGGCGCTAGTGCCCTTTCAGTCCCCCGAAGGGCATCCTCGCACTCGTCACTTGCGCTCACCAACGTGGGCGCGCGGCAGGAAGTCGAGCGCAGCGCTGCCGCGCTGCTGCGTCCGCGAGCGGCGCGCAGCTGGGTGCCACTGGACGCCGCGGATCTACACGCAAATCGCTAGCGGGCTTGTCATTTCAACAGAAACGCGCAAGACGGAAAAGCAGGCGGGCCCGGGGCAACCCCGGCACCGCCGACAGAGCGGGGGAAGAGGCAGCCAATACCTCCTGCAACGCGCGTGGGCAGGAGAAACCCCGCGCCACGTCGGCGGCCCCGTGCCCTCCTGCCCCTGGAGCCAGAGGCACTAGGCTGGCACTCGCGAGGAGAGGGGCTCGGTTCTGAGCCCCGCGGAAGCGACGCCATCAGCCTCCAGAGCTGAGGACGCCCTCGCACTCGCCGACGACGCACGAGTCGCACTCTCCGTAGGCGTCGTAGGGCTGGCTCACTAGGGCTCGCTCTCGCCCACGCCTTTGATTTTCGACGCGGGTTGGTTGATCTTGGTCTCCGTCGGGGCCTGCGCCTTCACGAGGCGCGCCATGTTGACTTGACGGGCCATTCGCGCTCGGTGGACTCGCGCGCGCAGGAAGAGCTCGCCACGCACGTGGAGACCACGACCTTCTTAGCCTTGTCGACCTGCACCTCCCCCATGAACTCCGAGGGTGGCTCGAACTCCGCCTTCTGGCCTTTCTTCATCAGCTCCTCCACCTGCTCGGACTTGGAGCCGTTCTTGGTGGCCCCGTCGCGGAGACGAGCGTCTCCAGGATCGCTACGTCCTTGTCGACGAATCCGAACCGGCGCATATCGCTCTTGTAATCGAAGTGGCCATGGATGTCGACGATGGCGGCGCCCTCCGCGCCGCGGGCGCGACGCCGCCGCCCCCTCTGCTGCCGCTCGGCCTCCTTCTCGCACTGGGGCAGCGCCTCTGCGCCCTCCCCGAAGAGGCCATGCTCCGCGACGTTCTGGCGAGCCGTCGCCCCGCCGCCGATCTCGATCGGCCCGTCATGGGCCGCCGCCTCGACCTTCGCTCGCAAACTCGACCCGCGCCTGGATCTCGCGATCCACCACCTGGTCCTCGACCTGCAGCTTGCCGCCTCTAGCCTGAGCCGCTCGTCAGAGGGCCACCGCTGTGGCCGCCACCACCTGGCGAGAGCCGCCAGCGCGCACAACAGCACCGAGAAGAGCCTCCGCCATCGCGTCGGGCATGACCGTAACCGGCTCGAACCAGGGGCTAGGCGAGCAAGCTGCTGGAGCCAAAACGGTTACGGAAGGGAGAAAGCGAGGAGACCAACTGCGCTGCACATTCGTCAATGCGCGTTTTTACCCCCTGAGGAACCCACACCGGCTCACCACACGGTGTGGTCACCGCGCCGTTTGGGTACCCCGAGTGCTCCCCCCTCCAAGGACCCCCGTGGAGCCAGGGAGGAAGGGGCGGGAGGTGCGACGCAACGGCCACGACGGACAACCTTCGAGCAAAGGTCAAAGAAGGAGCGAAAGAGAGGGGGAAGGGGAGCGTTTGGAGCGAAGAGGGGAAGGAGCGAAGAGAAAGAAAGAGCAGAGAGGGGAAGGAGCGAAGCGGGGGAGCGAAGCCACCTCCTCATCATCGTCGCAAGGAGCATCAGCGGCATCGTCGTCGTCGTCCGTCGTCGTCATCGTCATCGTCATCGTCTTGATCATCATCATAATCATCATCAGCATCACCGTCATCACCATTATCATCATCATCATAATCATCATCATCATCATCATCATCATCATCATCATCATCATCATCATCATCATCATCATCATCTTGATCATCAGCATCGTCATCATCATCATCAGAAGCAGCAGCCATCAGCATCAGCATCAGCATCACCATCATCATCATCATCATCATCACCACCGTCGTCGTCATTACCATCATCACCATCAGCATCACCATCATCATCATCATCATCATCATGATCATCATCATCAGCATCCTCATCACCCTCATCAGCATCATCAAGATTATTCCTCATCATCATCCTCCTAATCCCCATCATCATCATCACCACCATCATCACCAGCAACATCACCATCACCATCATAATCACAACTACCACCATCATCACCATCACCATCAGGATCAACACCCCATGATCATCATCATCATAATCATCATCATCATCATCATCATCATCATCATCATCATCATCATCATCATCATCATCATCATGGGCATCAGCACCAGCATCAGCAGCAGCAGCATCATCATCACCACCATCATCATCATCATCATCATCATCATCATCTCATCGTCAGCAAACGCATCTCCATACTCAATCAGCATCACGATCATCGTCAGCATCAGCATCATGAGCATCATAATCGGCATCAGCATGATCACCACCATCAATAACAACAGCATCATAATCAGAATCATCAGCAAGAACATCATCATAATCATCTTCGAAATCATCCTCATCATCGTCATCATCAGCATCATCATGATCATCCTCACCATCATTATCATCATGATCCTCAGCATCAGCATCATCATCACCATCACCACTACCACCATCCACCGCCACCACCATCATCACAACCATCACCACCACCACCAAGGTCATCGTCATCACCATCAGTAGCATCATCATCATCATCATCAACATCACCATCATCAGCATCATCACCATCAGCATCAGCATCAGCATGAGCATCATCATCACCACTATCATCATCATCATCACCAGCATTATCATCACCACCGTCAACGTCATCATCATCATCATCATCATCATCATCGTCATCATCATGATCAGCATCAGCATGATCAGCATCATGATGATCATCCTCGTCATCCTCATTGTGCATATCATCATCACCGACAGCATCATCATCATCATCATCATCATCATCATCATCAACATCATCATCATCGTCATCGTCATCATCATGAGCATCAGCACCAGACCAGCATCACCAGTATCATCATCATTCTCATCATCCACATCATAAACACCATTCGCATTGTCAACATCATCATCAATAGCAGCATCAGCATCTTCAGCTTCATCTTCATCATCATCATCAGCAGCAGCAGCATCAGCATCAGCATCTTCAACATCATCATCATCATCATCATCATCATCATCATCATCATCATCATCATCATCATCAGCATCCTCATCCTCATCATCCTCATCTCAACACTATGCGCGAGGCAGGGCAGGCCAGACTGCCGCCAGGGATTCTCTGCCGGCGTCCTCGAGACGCTTGCGCCTGACGCTGCGGATCCTCCGCCACTCCTGGCACATGAAGACGACGGCCCGGAAGACGCCTGGGGGCGGGTGGGCCCGCCCTCCCCTCACCTCCTCCTCCTCCTCCTCTGCCTCCTCCTCTTCCTCCTCAAGCTGCTCTCCTCCACTCCTCCTCGTCCTCCTCCTACAGCTCCTCCTCCTCCTCCTCCTCCTCCTCCTCCTCCTCCTCCTCCTCCTCGTCCTCCACCTCCTCCTCCTCCTGCTCCTCCTCCTCCTCCACCTCCCCCTCACTATTCTCCTCCTCCCCTGAAGCTTTACAAGCGCCACCTCACATCCTCCAAACCCAACGTCCTCCCGACCGTCCTACTCCTCATCGGTGCTCACGGATCGAGGCTATTGGGCGGGGTTCCTGCATTCCACAAAAATCCAAAGCGTCCACGAAGGGGGGTGGGGGGGGGGGGGGGGGGGGGGGGGGGGGGGGGGCAAAACGTGCCCCGAGGCACCTGCCTGGAGGAGGGGGGGGCAAAGGGACGCGCTGAGATGAGCAGAGCGGGGACCATGAAAGATAGTGATATTGGCCCCAACAATATCCCTATGGTGCTCCCATCGTACTTAAGGACCACATCCCAGACATAATTTGGAGCACCCGGAGAAGTGTCGAAAAAATGTCGAAACGGTGTCGAACGAGTGTCTCCCAGGGCCCGACGCGCGAACATCCTCAATTTTCTCGGTACGTTCTTGGTGCTCGAAAGTCTTCCTGGTGGTTCAGGCTAAAGTAGTTTGGAACATCAGATAGGGGGCCACAAGCGAACCCTGCCCCTATCCCCCACGATTTCTGAGGGGGAGGGTGGGGTCCGCTTCGTTCGGGAGCTCCCGAGCGAAGTGAACCCCGCCCTCCCGTCGGAAATCGTGTGGGGTAGGGGTAGGGTTCGCATGTGGCCCCCTATCATAACCATACCCAGTCCCCCTTGATCAGCGCCCCCCGCGTCGCCGCCCTCGCCGGGGACCCGGGCCCCATTAGGCGGAGGCCGAGCCCTTCCTCCGAGCTCTCCTCGCCTGGCCGCGGGCACGACACGGCACGGCAAGGGGGCCCCGCGGGCCTCGCAGGAGGGGCCTACCCTGCCTCGCGGATTAATCTGGATAATTTCGGTGGCAGTGCGTAGTTGTATGTTGTTCCCATCCTACTTACGGACCGCATCCCAGAAATAACTTCGAGCACCCTGAAAAGTGTCGAAAGAGTGTCGAAAGAGTGTCGAAACAGTGCCGGGCGAGTGTCTCCCAGGGCCCGAAACGTGAAACTCCTTGAGTTTCGGTACTTTTTCTGGTGCTCGAAGTTCCTTCTGGTGATCCAGGCTAAAGTAGGTTGGAACATCATAAGCGTAGTTTGTTATTGCACAAGCATCGGGCGCTGCGCGCTGCATGGGCTCCTGCGGGTGCCTAGAGGGCCGCTCGCCTGCTTGTGGAGAGCCCGAGACGAAGCGCGTGCGGGGAGCAGGGCACTCGGAGCAGTGGCCCAACAGCACTCCCGAGCGTCTCTGAAGCAGGCCCCCCTGCGACCTGGCTCCGCTGCTCCGCATAGGGGGCCCCGTGCGAACCCTGCCCCTACCCCCCACGACTTCTGCGGGGGAGGGTGGGGTCCACTTCGTCCGGGAGCTCCCGGGAGCCCCCCGCCCTGATGATTCGGGAAGGTTCGACGCGCGACTTATCGGGGACACCTGCGGTCCAGGGGAACCCTGGTTTGGAACCCCGAGTCACGAATATGTGTGTATATATATATATATAGTAGCTACCCCGGACTGCCCCCAACCCTGATGATTCGGGAGGGTTCGACGCGCGAATTATCCGGAACACCTGCGGTCCAGGGAACGCCTGGTTTGGAACCCCGAGGCTCGAATCTATAGTAGCTACCCCGGACTGCCCCCAACCTTGATGATTCGGGAGGGTTCGACGCGCGAATGATCCGGAACGCCTGCTGTCCAGGGAACGCCTGGTTTGGAACCCCGAGGCTCGAATCTATAGTAGCTACCCTGGACTGCCCCCAACCTTGATGATTCGGGAGGGCTGGGCGCGCGAATTATCCGGAACACCTGCGGTCCAGGGAAAGCCCGGTTTAGAATCCCGACGCGCGAACCTATGGTAGCTACCCCTGACTGCCCCCAGCCTTGATAATTCGGGAGGGCTGGACGCGCGAATTATCCGGGATAACTGCGGTCCAGGGGGAGCCCGGTTTGGAACCCCGAGACGCGAACCTACGGCAGGTTCATGTCGTGTCGACCCCGGCGCTGGTTTCAACACCACGGGAATCGTTCAACCTTGAGGACGATCGGGCGCTTCCGAAACGTCAGCTCGTTCGGCATCGACCGATTCTGTGTCGCCGGCGGCGTTCATCGTTGAACGCTGGCGGCGGGGTCGCCACCAATCGAACCGACGCGAACCTATCGCATAGTACTTACCCTTGACGGCCCCCAGCTTGGGCGCCCGAGTTATCCGGGTAACTCGGGCCAGG